TTTTTTTTAAGCTCAGTGTGACCAGAGGTTCTCCTTTTCCAGGACTTGCCCTCCTTTTCAGCCTTCTGTCCAAGAGGAATTTCAAAATGCCCTCCATTTTGAGCATGGCCAAGAAGCATTAATTTAATTTATTTATATTAGTGTTTTTACCACAGAGTGACCAGAGGTCCTCTCCCCCTAGGACATTTCCTCCATTTCAGCCTCCTGTCCAAGAGGGATTCCACGAAGTCCTCCATTTTGAGCATGATTAAGAAGCCTGAATTTATATTTATTGGACTTTTTTTTTAAGCTCAGGGTGACTAATGTCCTCCTTTTTCAGGACATGCCTTCCATTTCAGCCTGGGGGGAGTTGTCGATATGATATCTATGGCTGCATGCATCCCAGGGGGAAGTCCTGCATATGACACCCATGGCTGAGGCCTCCCAGGGGACTTGGAGGACATGGGGAGTTGAGGTGGTGCCCTCCCAGCCTTCCAGGAGTTAGAGGAGATGCTTCCTAGTCAAGCTCAGAATGGAGGGCATTTTGGAATTCCTCCTGGAAAGTAGGACGGGTCCTGGGAAAGGTGAGAGGGGGGAAATGGTGGATTTTCCCAAAAACTGGTAAGGGATGTATCAACCTACTGCCCCAGTAATCCCTCTCTTCCAGTGTGATGCAATCCAGGTCTGTCGTTTCCACTTGCTGAACCAGCTTGCTAATCGCTTCTTTTCAAAAGAACCACCAAAAAACTAGTGTCGGGAAAGAGCGGCTCTTTTGCATTTGCCTCACTTCATCGCAACTGAAACTGAGTGCAGTCAGTTCGGAACCAGTTTCAAGTGAGAACGACAGATATATAACCTGATCAGCAATTTGTTTTAAATCATAGTGGGAATGAGGCCTTTGTTTCCTTAATGTTCAACTGTTAACCAGCCTGCATGCAAAAGCAGCAAAGAACAATGGTACACATTGACAAGCTCTCTCCTCAGTCAGTTGGAAAAAGTACCAAGAGTTTGAGGCTCCTGGTCAGTTTCACCACTAAAACGGAGAGGATTTCCCCATTCTTACAAATTATATAATACATCCCAATACCCTCCCCCCCCTTAAAACAGTATTAAATCAGACATAGGAAAAGATATTAGATTAAAATGACAGTAGTTAAAAACATAAAATAAACAAAATCAGATGAATAAAACAAACCAAATAGCGGGAAAACGGTAAGAATTATAATTGGGGAATGTTCCTGTTCCGTACTAAAGACCGCATCAAGGGTATGACCCACACAATGTGAGGGCCCAACGACCAATTGGGATAGGCCCATATTTGTCATGGTTTCCTTGAACTCCCGAGCCACACCTGTCAGATTTGTCAAACTGGTCTCAAGTG